GGGAGAGGTGGGGGGGTTCAGCCTGGAGAAGAGAAGGCGGAAAAGGGGAGAGCTCAGAGCCCCTTCCAGTGCCTAAAGGGGCTCCAGGAGAGCTGGGGGGGACTCTGGATCAGGGAGGGGAGTGATGGGATGAGAGGGAACGGTTTGACACTGAAAGAGGGGAGATGGAGATGAGATATGAGGAAGAAATTCTTCCCTGTGAGGTCAGGTTGCCCCGAGAAGCTGTGGCTGCCCCATCCCTGGAGGTGTTCAAGGCCAGGTTGGACGGGGCTTGGAGCAACCTGGGCTGGTGGGAGGTGGAACGAGATGATCTTTAGGGTCCCTTCCAACTCGAACCATTCTATGATTCTATCACTCTATGTCGCAGTGACTGGGAGAAACACATCATGCTGGAAACCCCCTTTTTTAGCTTTTTTTCTGCCTCCCTCTCCAGTGCACTCAAACATCTGCATTGAGCTCAGCTGGCTGAAATCCCTCCTCTCACCCTGAGCTTGCTGGACCACTTGGTCCTACCTCGCTTGGAGCCACCCAAACCACCACCAGCGGCAAATTTAGCTTCTAAAAATACAGAGCTTCTAAAAATACAGACTTATTTGCCCGAACCTGGATGGTTTGATCCCAGGATGAGCAGCGCGACCCATCTCCATCCCCCAAAGGGCAGCAGCCGTGCTGGTACCCCCCTCTCCAGCATCGCTAAACCACATGTACGATGGAATCGATGTCGTAAGAGGGTCGTGCAATTTTGGGAGACACAGCCCGGGCTCCCTGCTGCCTCCCGGGAGCCGGAGCGATGCCCTCGCCTGGCAGTAATAGAGAGCTCAATAAACTGTGCTGATGCTTGTGACCTTCTCTCCCCGCCTGGGCATGAGGAATTAAAAGAGTTCCCCATCCTGACATTTAAATTATCATCTCCGAGGCGCAGAGACGACCCAGCTGGCGCGTAGATGAATGGCACGAGTCAGACCTCTTGCTGTTACCGGCCCAAGATCTCTCCATCAGCGGCTTTGCTAAGATTTTAGAGAATTTCTCTGCAGCCGTAAAACTTGAGATTTTTCCCTAAAGGGGAGCAGGTTTATAAATTGGAGGCACAACCCGCTGTGAATTAGGCTGGCTTGAAAATTTGGAGGGGGCTGTGAATTTCTGGGAGATGCTTTCCAGGTAAAAAGTGGTATCCTGGTGCCTCCAGCCCGGCTTCTCCCGAGCATCCCCAAAGCAGCATCCCCAAATTTGCCAAGGCTCTGGGCTTTCCCAGCAGCACCATACGGCGTAGGAATGGCTCACAACAGCCTCAGCACGTCGGGTGTCCTTCGCTTGGCTCCTCCATCCCGTCTTCCTCCTCTCCTGGAGCCGATGCTGCTGCGAGCAGTGACTTTATCACTGTCACCAGCAACATCTCCCGCTCGGAGCCACCGCGGGAGCCGCTGGCCGGGGCTGTAACGTCTCATTTCTCCTAATGGGCAGTGGCAGAGAAAGCCCCTGTGGGGACCGCGCTTTGTCACCATCGATCAGGCGGCTCCGAGCGGCGCCGCCAACATCTGTAATGCATCGGCCCCCACTTGCCACGGCCGTGGGTTTTGGAGCCCGAGGCTTTTGCCGGCCAGGGACCAGCCCGACGAGCCCCTCGGCGGAGCAAAACGCTTTGCAATCCCCACGCAGCAGCCGGGGAGCTTAAAAAAAAGAGCTGCTGCGGGAAGGATGGGGAGAATGGTTTGCAGAAGGGATGAGGGGGACCCACCGGCGCCTGGTGGATGTTCCCTCGCCTGCAAAGGCCACCTTGGTGGGTGCTAAGGGGAGGGGTGCTCATGCATGGGTGCTGCAATGAGCAATGCCTGTGTGCCACGGGTGCTATGGAGAGCAACGTCTGTGTGCCGTGGGTGCTACGGAGAGCACTGCCCGTGTATGATGGGTGCTACGGAGAGCAATGCCCGTGTGCCATGGGTGCTATGGGGAGGAAAACCCATGTGCCATGGGTGCTCTGGAGAGTACTGCCCATG